CACTGATTTTCACAACCAGATGTTATGTGGGCACCTCTTCCTGTTTCTGGTGTTCTGGGCTGGGAAGCCTGGCTTGGAATTTAGACCTCATGCTTCTCAGGGGGAACTCCCACAGCTGAGATAGCCTTTGGAACCTCAGCCACCCCCTGTAGCCAGTCCTTTTTGCATCTATGCTCTTCCTACCAGTCTGTAAATCCTTGGTTATAAGACTTCTCTTCAGCTAGCCTTCAGTTGATTATTCAGACTGATTGTTCTATAACTTAGTTGTAATTCCAGTTTGGTTCTTGGAGGAGATGAGTGTAGCCTCCACCTACTCCACCACCATCTTGGACCTTCTAATGTTAAGTACTTTACAAGGAGGAATTGACTCCTTTCATCCATGTAAATTCAGGGCTTGGTACAAGGTTGAAACCATAGTTCCTACTCAAAAACTATTTGTGGAGTGAACAATATACCAGACAATTTTAGGTTTCTGCTATTTGTGTGAGGAAATGTGAAAGCTTGCCTTGGTGCCAATAACAGAAGTCATCTGGGTCTCTAAGCTTTCTGCAACCTCAAAGTCTACAGGTTCCATCCAGTCTGTGACCCAGCCTCCTCATCACCTTTCCCATGACATGCATGGCAGGCCGCCTCAGCTACACTGTAGTGCAAGATGCTGTGGAGCAAGTGCATCTTGGAAAGCAGGCCAGGGGGCAGTTTATTTCTGCCATATGAGCACAAAGACTCTTCCTAGATTGGGCTTCTACATGTGCTCCTTGACCTATATACCAAGATTTGTTCTCACACAAGGCCCTCTATCAGCTGACTTCTTCTGTTCACTCCTCTGAACCCTTTACCCATTTTCATAATTATGTTTTTACCTGTTCTGCTCTATCCTTTAGGGACTACTTTCCTCCCTGTTGCCTCTCCTCCCTGCAAGACTTAGTCTGTGTCACCTCTCTAGGAAAGCCTTTCCTGACACCTACCTTCCCCTGCTTGTCTATGTTACATGTTCTTCCAGTGTGTTTCCTGTAGCATCAGTCCATACCCTTGCCTGCAGCACTGGCACTGGACTTTACACATTTGTATGCCTGTTATACAAAACAGTGTAAGCTACTTTAGGGCAGAGAATGGATCATATTAATCTCATGCCTAGCACAGAACCTATAACTTTAATCAGTGTTGGATAAGTGGGTCAATGGATTTTAAAAATCTTTTAACTCTTAGTAACAGGAAACGTGAGTGAAATCTAGGATGTGTTGACCATTGGATTTCAAAGAGGTTTATAGTCAGAGAGGTACCCAAGATAGAAATAGAGTTTGTGACCAAAAACTATTGGACTTTAAGTAAGGTTACAGTAGTAGGAAAAATGTGAACTATAACTAAGTTGAATTTCAGGAATGCAGAATGGAGAACAACTATGTATTTAAGTAGGTTTTTTTAGAGTTGCTGGATTGCCTATTGGCTTTGCTCAGATACAAAAAGAGTAGGTTTGTGTGCTCATGTCTTTTAGGTTGCAAAATCAATGATCATAAATTTTTAAAGAAAACTTTCCTAAATATCCTAAATATAGAACTGTTCAAACTTACTGTAAAATTTGGCTACGCTAAGCCTCCAGTGCTTGTTTTCAACAATGAAACTACAAGAAAGAATCTTTGCTACCCACAGATCTATTCTAATATTAGGTATATGTTTTAATCTTGACTTTTTTTTTCCTTTCAGTTTGCTTCAAATTGGGTGTGGTCTTTCTTTTACTACATGAGCAAGGCCTTTTATGTATACCTAAGCTGCCAGACATTCTTCTTGGTCATAGAGGTTTTAACCATTTTAAGATGCCACTGTATCTACTTGCACTGCTGAGTGCAAACTGGTGTGCTGGTGCCATGTGGAGAGCCACCTTAGTGCTCCTTATATGATGATGTGCTCCAGAGATCAGTCTCTACTGTAACTTTCTATGAATGATCATCAAATCCTCATAAACCTTACAAAGCAGGTATTCTTATCATCCCCACTTTATAGATGATGACACTGAGGGCCAGAAGAAGTCAAATGACTTGCCTATGGTTATAAAGTTGGTAAATAGTGAATTCTAAACTAAGGCTATTTCTGTCTCACTCCAGATTTAACAACTATACTGCAATTAGCATTTCTGATTTTGCTTTTTAAAATGAAGTTAGTTCACAGAGGAAAAGAATATAATAAAAATCATACTTGGTTAAATTTTCCATGTTTCTATGTCTTAGAGTACTTCAGACTGCTCTAAAGGCCTATGGCAGTACAGCTTCCAACACAGTGGTATCAGACCCTATGGAAATAGTCAAATTCAACACATAAAGTATTCCTTCCTGGAGCCAGAAGTCCATATGTTGTTTCCCATTAACTTGGGTCCTCTGTACTGGCAGCTTGCTAGGGTAGAGTTTGCATTTTGTAGACACATACTGTCAGGTAACAGACATAGTAATGCTTTATACTTATTTCATTTTCTCTTTATCTGGAAATAAAAATTATTTGTCCTTTTAATCATTCATTCTTCATTTTGATCGAATGCATTCTTCATTTTGATTGAATGCAAAAGTGACATGTTTATAAAATTATTTAGATAACTTATACAATTTATAAAATTTATAATTTAGATAATTTATATGTAGATCAGAAATGTAATCAAGTTCTCATCACTTATTGGAACAACTTTTAAAATGTTCAAGTGAAGTATGAATCAAACATTATGTACTATTTTGCAAAGTATTGTGAAATATAAAATATATTATCTATTTTATCTGCAATATAATTCTCAGTCATTCTCTACTCCCTGATTACATTTTTATCATACATGTTTTTGACATAATGAAGGTTTATACAATATTAAAAATTTTCCTGACTTATAAGCAGCTGCATTTGTTCATTCATTCACATCTTCATGCAATGAAGAAAGGGCCAATTCTATGGCAGGCCCTGTAGTAGATACTGAAGTTGCCTGATGAACGAGACAAGGTCTTGGTATTCAAGAAACTCACAACATAGTAGAAAAAAACCTCACCCTTGACAAGTACTATAAAGTTAAAGTGCAGCATGTGATGGGGAAAGGGAATGGATGTCACAAGAAGACATACCTGGGTCCTAAAGCAGGAAAGAAAGCATTTATAGCCTTGCTTAGTTGGAACTGAAGGTTAGAACTTAAGACACTGGGAGAGGTATTGGTAGGAGATGAAATAAGTTCATTATCCTGGTATTTATTGTAAAAGTCAATAAGAAGCAAGGGAGTGGTGAAATCAGAATTGTATTTAAGAATTCACTCTGGCTATGTGTGAAGAATGGATGAGAGGTAACAAGGGTGGAGGCAGGGAGTCTAGAAAGCTATTGTAGTATTCCAGAAGAAAGATGACAATAGTTTCAACTAGGATACTGGGGGTAGAGAAAAAAATAAATACATTCATTTAAGAACTATTTAAGAAATAGAGTTGATGTGTATAGGCTGATGGAATTGGACATGGGGTGAGAACAGTAAGAAGTCAAACCAGGTTTCTAGCTTGGGAAGCATAATAGATGTGGCTGCCATTCACTGGAATTGAAAGTACTGAAAGTATATCCCATTGAGTGGGAGAAAGATCAAGAGTTCCATTTGGATGTTTTCAGTCTGAGGACCTGGGCCTATCATTTGGAGATTCAGGCAGCCAAGTACAGACTCCAGGGATCAGGTCAGGACTAAAGGCATGACATTAGTAGCATGAAGGTAGTAGTTAAACCCATGAAGGAGTAGGAGGAAACAGCCCACTGTGATCATGTATCACAGGAAGAGAAGAGGGTGAAGGATAGGGCCTGGAGTTGTTGGGAAGGGCAAGATGACCCCATGAGGAAGCATTCTGAGAAGTTGAAGGCAGTTGGCGCTTTCAGGCTCAAGCTTAGGGGAACATTCTGGGCTGGAGCTATAGCAGATGGCATTTAGAGGGTAGTAGAAAGCAGGGAGCAGAGGAGATAGCCTAGAAAATGTAGTTTTTGTATCATACTGTTACCAACTTGGCTACTAGAGGTAGAGATAGTCTGTACGATAATCATTTCTAAAGAAGAAGAATGTGGGGTAAAATGCAAGGGCAATGTTTAAATCAGAGGATGTGAATATATAAAGACTATGCAAAATTTGTTCAGGCTGGACCTGGATTCCTTTTCTATGAACCCTACTAAAGAGGTAATGCCTCATGCCCATCCCTACTGTAAACATATTCCTAAGTGAGTCCCTGAATCAACAAATGTCACTTCTGCTCATACCAAAGTTTTCTTGTTGGAAAAAGTATGTAGCCAAGTAAGTTTGTCTAGCATGATTTCAGCCTTGTGTTAGAAAGTCATGGTCTAAGGCCTTCAAAGTAATTCAGCCAAGAAGGAGCTGTGCTGTCCAGAGGACTGAAGAGAAAGGACAGTGGCCAAGAGATGACACTACCTGTCCTCACTCTTTCTTTTTTCTACAGTAATATTTTTTCTGCTTGAACATGTGGTGTTTGTTTTAAGCAATGCATTCTAGGGTTTCTTACATGAAAATCCCTCAATTAGAGGTGACAAGGAATAGCCCCCTTGGTTCAATGGAAGACTAAGGGGCAGATACTTCCCCTCAAGCTGTCCCAGCTCCATTCAGTCTTGTCTAAGGTGGGACCACCCAGACAGGTATTAAAAAGATAAGCAACTGCTTCTCATTTAAAGCCCTCCCTCTGGATTCACTTAGCTGTGATTAATTAAAAAAAAAAGTCTTCCTTCAATCTCCTGAAACCTTTTTGGATCAAGCTGGAAATAAAGACCCAGATTATTTTCCACTGCATAAGCTTTCATGTCATCCATCAAAGGCTATCACAGACTTTCATGGAGTGTGCTTTCACCAAGATATTTTGTGGTACAACAAGCTTTAGAACCAAGTTTATCACGTTTATGAACACATGACAAAGGTTGGGAAAATTCCCTCCAAAAGAGTCAGTCATCCTCCCTGAATCTGGCCTAGGGTTTTTGATGCTGAATAACAACAATAATGTTAAGGGATCTTTATTATTCAAAAAATAAATAACAAGATAATGACAAGTTCACTCTGGAAACAATGAAGACTGCAGGCAGATACAATAGATTTCCTTTAAATACAGTCACTTCTTGAGGAGGAGTGGTCAGGCTCAGAGCTGCTCTCTCTGTTCCCCCTCCCATTTACAGTGGTAGAGATAGGGACAGGGTTGATATAACTGATTAGCAACAGCCTGACACTGTGTGTGTGTGTGTGTGTGTGTGTGTGTGTGTGTGTGTGTGTGTGTGTGTGTGAGAGAGAGAGAGAGAGAGAGAGAGAGAGAAAGAAAGAATGAGTGTTGGGGGGCTGGTGGGGGAGAAGTTTTTTAGTTCGCCACTGCCTTAATCTTTCTGGAGCCTGTCCCCATCATCAGTGGCACAGGGACCCAGAATCAACCATACAACTAAATGCGAGCTAAGGCTTCTTATTTCCCTTCTGCATCTTCACTGATAAATCAAATACATTATCCACTGAAAGACACTGCAGATAAAAAAACTCCCTAAACTTACTAATTATCTGCTGTTTACTCAGAATTCAATCTGTGCATAATGGCCTTGTCTTTTCACAGGAATCTCTGTATGTCTGCATCAATCAGGTTGCTGCTTCAGAATATAAGCTCTTATGGAACAGGGCCTCTTTGGGTTTCACCTACCCCATAATTCACTTAATGCAGCCCTACATGCCTTGGGATGTATAATAAATAGTTCTCCATGAGGAGGATTGTAGGGTTATAAATAGGCAGTTCAACAGGGGAGTGGTGGTCTTAACTGCTTTGCTGTATTATGAAGACTACCAGCATCAGCTCAGTGGCAGCCTGCGAGGTTACACTGTTCAGAGTTTCAGTAAGCCAAAAGACGTGAAGCCAGTCCCATGGCTCACTTGGCTTGGATCAGTCACGTTGACAAACACTGAAGCACCTGGTTGCAATTCAAATACTCCTCCCAAGTGAATGGATTGTTGCCCACAAGGTTTGGAGGAACTGTGGGTGTTTGCCGCTCTAAGTAAGATTCTCTCAGATCCACTTGTGGACCTCAGGCAGAGGCTGGCTATAAATGGAGCTTGACTCGAAGTTTCCCGATTGGAACAGAATGTGACTTGGGCATAGATATAATAGAGTCCTTGTCTTTTAACAGCCAGTTGTTTCCCATTTTCAAGAGTTACCAAGTTGTTGCTCATGGTATAGTATCCTTTTTGGGCCCACTGCAGAACTGTAATGGAGAGGAGAAAAATTTGTGGTGAGGTGAAGCATAGCATGGTTCACACTTTAACAAAATATAGTCTAATATTGAAACTAGCTTCATATATGAATGGAAGGTTTGGGCATAACAGACTTTTAAGGACCCATCCAACATTAAGTCTACAAAGGAGCTATGGCTGACAAACTAGCATGGGCTTTACAGTCAGATGAAGCTGGGCTCCAATCCAAGCTTTACTTAAGCTTCGGCAAGTCAATCTCCCTGAGTTTTAGTTTCTCATCTGCAACACTGGGCTAATATCACAGCATGTTTCTAAGACTTGTGAAGATTAAATAAAGTAATAGAGCACAGTGAGCTTCATTCTCCCTTTAGAGTTCTTAAAGCTAAATTGTCCTTGAACTTAAGAAAGTGTGAATGATTTAAAAATTCCACATCATAAATTATGCACGCCAAAATATTCAAGCTAATTCCTCACTAATATTAACACTGATTTCTTCCTTTCCTTAAAATTTACAAAGTCAAAAAAGTTGTTAGTCTACCTAACTCAGCCTCAGCACAGAGAAAGGAAAGACCCCATTTCTTCCTACCTGATCAAGCTGTTGCAAACCTGACATGCCTCCCACAACAAGGACTAAAATTAGGCAAGGAAGTATGAAAATAAACCTGTCATTTCACTGTGTGTTTTGATCTCCCATTGTAGTGGGCGCCACAGACTCGAAAGTATCTGTATTCTTGTGGCTAAACCGGAGTACCCACCAACAGTGTGCCATTTTCTCGACTGAGATGTTGAGTGGGTTCAAAGTAGTATGTGCACCTGATTTCAAATCTCAGCTCCCACAGAGAGCTAGATTGCTAGGATGGGGGTTGGGAAGAAGTGAAGGTAATTGATGCATTTGCTTCCCTGAGCTTTTGGAAAAAATTCCTCTTTGGTGGTCTTAGACCTATCAGGGTGCAAGATCCAAGCTGTTCAGACTCATCTTTTAGTAACAGGGAAGGCATCTGAAATGTCTGACATTTCCTGGCCTTCTAGACCACTCCAGAAATGACACTTAATTATGATGTTTTCACTTTTGGACCATCTAATTGAGAAAACAAGTGCAAGTTCCCTATCTTTTAGTCCACTAAGTTTACTTTTGTAAGTTGTTACCTAATTTGCAGCCTAGCTGTTGGGTGTAGATCAGGCCTGTGGCAGCATAAAAAAAGCAAGAGATTTGGGACTGAGGGGGTGAGGAATGTTACTATCTTTCCACTGGATCTCCTGCAAACCTACTGTGATGCAGACTGTAAAATATACTAGGATGAATATCAATAATGGGCCTTTTGGCAGAGTCTGAGCATTATGAAATGTATTCAAGGGCAAGGATTTATATACAGGTTAGCAAAGACCAATGGGAATTTATTCTTCAAGGAGATGTCTCTGTTGCTGTTATCCAATTTGGATGAGAAGGTGTCATGTGGATGGCCACCCTGACATGTCAATATAGTTGTGATATTCTCCTACAAGTGTATTTTCTGAGAAAGGGGTACTTAGAACAATTATTAAGTATTGTGGGAATATTGGTATTAATAAAGGACTTTATGTCACTCTTATGACATCTAAGTCACCATGAATAAAGCTAAGCACTGTCACCTTACATTTTTATAGAACTTGACAGTATAACTTTCTTCCAGGTTAGCTGATTTGATGCTCAGAGTCACTCTGTAAAGTGAGGCCAGAAACTGCTGCATAGGTACAGGTACTTGCCCAAGGTCACCCAGCAAGTGGTAGTCATGGTTCTTGAACCTTAGTATTCAAAACTTCCTATACAGTGCTCTTACTTCCATATCATGATCCATGATAACCATGTATACCCACTGAGAAGCCCAAACCCCACCTCAGAGATGAGGCTGTATCTCCTCTCCTCTCCTCTCCCTCTCCCCATCTCTCTCCTCTCCTCCCTTCTCCTCTCCTTTTACCTCTCCATTCTCTCTCTCTCTCTCTCTCTCTCTCTCTCTCTCTCTCTCTCTCTCTCTCACACACACACACACACACACACTCTGTTTAGAGCTCCATTCCAGAGCACTGTGCTGAACTTTTTCAAAGACTGCTCTGATGCTCTCAAACTTCATTTATGTAGATGGGGGATTTTATGCTAGCGTCTGTGTTTCCATCCATTTATCAGATGCGACACATTCTCCAGCACCAGCTATCAGGAGGTACAGATTTGGGAGAAAAAAAAAAGATCTAAGGGCTAGAACAATGGCAGAACGTATATGGAAATAATATCATTCAGAGTTGAAAAGATTACAGTATGTCATCTGTTGTTACTTCATTGGAAAATTTAATGTGCTGGCACCTACTGATCTTTGTAGAATGATTTTACATTTAATTTCCTTGAGGTTGGCCCCAGTGGGGCTGGGGTAATCATACAGGGAATGACAAATAGCAGGAAATACCTCCTGAGGCACATTTACACACAGTGAAGAGGCATTAGGATAAAAAGGATATTCCCAGTCATCTCTTCTATGTTGTCAGAATAAGGGGTCCCTCCACCCAGTAATTCATCATTCAGGATCAGCCATTGAGCAAGAACATAATGAGAACACTGGGATTGCTTCCCACCTCCTTTTGTCCCTCCAAATCCCATCTGTACATTTAAGCTCACTTTGAAGACAAAGGAAAATATATGAGAGCTATATGGGTAGGTTTGTAAATTAGGCCCCAAAGAAAGAGAGGAACCTAATCATTGGGCAGCATTGCATCAATGTCCCAGCCTTCCCCCTCGGATGGCTAATGCTCAGATGATTTTGAACTTACCAGATGCTGTTTTACTACTGGCCTCACTTATGACATGTGCTGCAATTTGAGGATCCTGATCACCTAAAATGAAACCAAAAGCTAACTATTAGACCAAAGTAATACAAAACTGCACATGGAACTATTTAGTCCAGCTCTATAGCTGTGTAATAGAGTGTGCTTAAATACTTTATGTAAAAGGGAGGATACAATGGTCTGAAATCCTTCCCAGAGTGGTAAAATTTTGTTTCTAAAGTCTGAACAATTGAATTGGTTATTTCCACTAATCCTGTTTTTCTTATGTTTGTTCAGTACTCAACTGACTCCACTTTACATAGATTGATATAGGCTAAAATACTGGTCTCCATTAAACATATTTGAATCTTGCTTCTAAGAGCAACTTCCATCCATTGGGAATCTTAGTGAGCCCAAAGGTTGTGTCTGCACAATTAGCTAGTAAGGTGCTTATGGTGTCTGATTTGGTCAAACAATTGGCCAAACTATTGTATCCATCCTAATTGTTTCTCATGTAAAAGGCTTGCTTCTTAATTAGATGTGCTGATATTCTAAGTGTAAAGACTGAGGAAGTTTTTTTTTGTCCAGTAATGAGCCATGTTGAACACTTCGTAGGTGTCCTATAAATATTGAGTCAAATTGCATGACCTAAATTACCAGTTCCGTTAAGTTTATTATTTACTAAAGACTGCTAGGCAGTCTGTATGACTAACCTCAACCTCCACGTGTTTCCTCAATTTTCACTGTAATTAACAGATAACATAGTTCCACTTAACATATCTTACAACCATCTGAAGACAAAACTTTCATGGAAATCAGATCACCTTTTGCATCTAGACCAATAGTTAGCACAACCTCTGAGTATGCTCTTTGCCTCAGAAAATAGTACCTGTATTTCTCTATGTATACAATGGGGCAAAAGTAAGTTTATAGTTGTTCATATGGAAAGTAATACAATAATTAATAAATAATATAAGAACGAACTCTGTGTTTTGTGTATTCAAAACTGTAAACCTACTTTTGCCTCACCCTGTATGTGTATATGTATTTGTATGTATTAAATTTACAAAACCCAAAGCATCAGTTTCACTAACTTTGTGATATAGTAGTGTGTCTAAAACACCCATCTACCAACACTTCATCTTTCCCATACTCAGCTATTCATGTCACTCCAGGCATTACTGTGTTATGTTTGGTGTACTATGTTCTAAGAGGAATGGGGAAAATTAAGGTGTCATCCAGAAAAGGAGGTAACTAAGAAAGGAAATGGTCTAGAAATGGTCATAAGAGGAAGAGTGGAAGGTACTGGGGAGGTTTAGCCTGGAGAAGAAAAGGCTTCCATGATTGCTGTTTTCAACATCTGTACAGCTGCTGTGTAGAAGAGGAATTATACTTTGTTTCATATGGCCCCACTGAGCAGAATGTGTCCAATGAGTGGAGATTATAGGAACAAATTTCAGCTCCAGAGGAGAAAATAGTTCTCTCATATAGTATAGTAAACTTATTATAATTATTAGAGCCATTCAAAATGGGCCAGGCTGCTTTATGAGATAGAAAGTACCTAGGCATGTTTGATTACAGGCCAGATAATCATTGCTGGTGTGAAGGAGGTTTGTGCCCTGGGCATGGTGTTGGATTTGAGAAATATCAAGACCCCTTCCAGCCATGAGTTGTCTGAGATACTCTGACATTGAGAACAAGGCAAAGTATAGAATGTTGTCACACTGATTCATTCCTTGATTCCAGAGGCTCCACTGGCCATGGTTCCTCATAAAAAACTGCTGTTGAGCAGTAAAAGTCACTGCTACCAAATGATGATTTTCTTATCTTATCCTTTGTAGGTGGCACTAGGCTGTATGATTGCTTTGATTAAGGTATCAAAAATAATGGAATTCAGGAAATAAAGAACAAACTGACAGTGACCAGAGTGGATGCAGGGGTGATAATGAGGGAAATAAGGGGAAGAGGTAAGCCAGGGAACACAAATAGAAGACTCATGGGCATGGACAATGGGAAGGGATTGATTGTGGGAGTTGGCAGGGACGGGGCATGGGAGAGCAATGGAGAAAAGGCAGGACAACTGTAACTAAACAATAAAATGCATAATATTAAAAAAGAAAGTAATGGAATTTCTTCATACTTGGTATTGTCAGCATTAAAGGAACCCAGCCAATTGTGTTCCAGTTTTATTTCCAGGGCTAAAAGTCCCCTGATTCAACACTGGGTTTTTCAATATAATTGGTATTATAAAGCTTCATTTTACTTTTTAAGTATGCATAGAAATTGGTAAATAGTACCGTACCTTTTTGCATTTCAAAGTTTTTTTCTTTCTCCTTCACTTCATTTCCCATTATATCCTGAAATAAGAATCATTGCAAAAGGTCAATTTGACAGGAACTCTGCTGTGGAGTTTTAGAGGTTTCATTTATTTGGCATCAGTCTTTACTTTGTTGCCTGGCTTTGGTGAGGCTTATCATATAGACTCAGATCCTGTCATTAGTTCCATCTTATTGATTGGGAGCCCATGGCTCTGACAGATGAGCTGATAGTCCAGAAAGCCCAGGGGTGGACCTAAAAGCAAAATCTGGGATTCATTATCTCCATTCTAGCATGCTTTCTACACTGGAAGCTGCAATACTGACTCTGCTTATGACCCCACTGGTTTTGACAGGTATTGACAAATAATGCTGAATCAGGACGTGATTCTACCTAGGGAAATGGCATATAGAGTATTATTAAACATAAGCATAGTATATATCTGTTAGAATAAAATTTGTTTGAAATCTCTCAGAAAATGATAACAGTAAGTTTTATCTTGGGAAGGAATCCCAGAAAAAACCCTCAGATATATATATAAATTTTGTTGTCTTGTTGCTGGTTGTGTGCCTTTGTGTGGCCAGCATTTACTATTTAGAATAATCAGCATACATATAGGAAACACAGGTAATCTTCCAGTGCTTCCAATGTTCAAAGACAAATGCAACCCTTCTTTGGGGGTTTCTTCTCACTTAGCAGCTGAAGGAAGGTTAGAGGTACTTTAAGAATCTAACAGGGACTGCAGTTGACACAGGTTAAAAGATAATAAAGGCTACTGCTGCCACTTAAATATACTGAATAAATGGCCTTGAGAGCTTAACTGGCTGGCCTGAGATCACCCAAAGAGACTGAAGCTGAAGCAAAGAGTTGAAATAGTGAGATCAACTTCGTAGGCCAGGTTTAACTCATACCATCACCACGTACTCTGAACACAAGAGAGGAAGAGAGCAGTATTTTCATGTTTTCTGAGGGTCAAAGTCCTGTGCTCCTTCCCATTGCTAAAATCAATTTTCTATAGGGCCCTTCTTTTTTATTCCTCCTTTAGAAGGAATTAATGTTGTACTGTTGAGTGTCTTCTTTTAGGCTCAGCTCAGTTGTCAGATGTGATGGTGTAAATCACAGAGCCTGAAGGGGAACCTGCACCTTGAAATGCTCACATGGCCGCAGGGCCTCAACTTTCCACTTAAGCTGAAGTGTGGCACTGTGAAAGTGCGGCAACAGGAAAATGTTTGTGAGATAACAAGTAAACAAATGAGTATTTAGTGTCTTTTCAAAAAATGGAGTGTGATGATCAAGGTTGAGATACTTTCAACTAGGTGGTTACATTGGTGTCAGAGCTTAGCCAAGATGAAAATGTGAAGTCAGCAATGTTTGTCTTTTATGCACCCAGCCTTGCCTTTTCGTGAACTTTCCCCCAGCCACACTCCCCAGAGCCTTTTTTCTTGCTTTGCTCCACACTTTAACTGAAAATATTTTTAAAGTTGACTTTCAGAAAATCTTAGATTAGATATTTCTCTCAGTGGGAACCCTTGCGGCAGTTATAGGCAGAATGACCTTTAACTTGAAAAGGAAATTCTTTGACTCTACCAAAGACATCTCAAGAATTGGTGGGCAAACAATCATGGAAATGATCATTCTAGCAGAGGGTAGGGTGAGGACTAAGTTTAATGTGAAATAACACTATTCACAATGCTGCATAATTCCTGAATCCTACCTTCCCCCCAAAGTGACAGCTTGATGCTACCTGCCTCAGGAGATAATAAGTTCCTTGTTATTAGAGGTGTTCAAGCAGAGATCAGGGGACAACTACGTAGGAACTGTGGGAATAAAATTGAAGTTATGTGTTGATAATTGGATCTGATGATTTCTAAGACCTCTTTAAGTTCTATTTCAGAGCCCCAAGATTCAAACCCTAAGTTTCTCTGGACCAGTCAGACTGTGATGCAGAAAGAAAGACTGTCAACGTTAGCTAAAAATATAAAAGTCCAATTTGGGATTATTATGTAGCTGACTTGTTAATTTAAAAAGTCCAGATATTGTTTTAGAATGAGAAATTTGGGAGGGGGGATGGATATTAGAGAGTGGTTCACTCATTGGAGGAAGATTGGGCATTTAGAGTACTTTGTGTCTCACCATCATGCATATCATAGGTACAGATAACATTGACTTTCATTCCACTCCTATTGCAGCAAAAGCAAGGGAATTCTGTTGCATGTAAGAATCTCCAGTTGACATGCTTGAGAAGTTCTGCCTTTTTAGGATATGAAACTTTGGAACTGCCGCTTTTTTATGCAAGCATAAGCAGAGAGGCCAAACCAGCTATTTTCCTTACTCCTATTCTGGGTAGCTGATCTGGGAAGCTTTGCATATCTGACCTGAAATAAAGCCGTGAAGAATTAGCAGTTGAACTGTAAAACTCTCAGTAAAAAAAAAAAGAGAAGGGAAAAATCAACAGTAACTCTCACTGACTTTGGAGGGAACTGAAGGCTGATTCTATAATTACAGAATGTCAGAGTTTGTAGTATTCTTACAGATAATCTCACCTGTCTTATTTCATAAATGAGAAAACTGAGGTCTAGAGAGGTGAACTCATTTGCCCATGGTCACACAGCCAAGCACATTATATATGTTATTGGGATTATTAACCATTGTTCTGAAAGTGGCTTTATTTACATTTAAATTTGCAATACCTCCCAATACCTTGTAATATTTGCCAGAAGCCTCAAAGAACCTGAGAAACTCAAATATTTCCATACCTCATAAATAAAGAGTTAGGAGTTTTTATCTAAAACCTAGACTAGCATAAACAACCTAAAAGCCAGCAACAGATTTGAGCTGCATTCTGATTCCCATAGGTGGCTCAGAAATAAGGAAGGTCTTGGTCTTCACTGCTGGATTAAATTACACATTGGGGGCAGTATAAGAGGACAGGAATAAACTTAGAAATAAGATCTAAAGCTCTTCAGCCTTGGGTTAAATCACATATCATCTATATGTGAGAACTAATTCCTCTTAGTTTACCTAGATACCCAACAACCTGGCATAGTGATGCCCTCAATGTGGAGTGCTGCTTCCAATTCACAACCCCAAAGTGGGCTGAGGGCCAAGGGTATATGCACTCAGTATTTTGACAGAGAAATAGGTAGAAAGACTTCTTGATATTCTGCTTCAAGAGAAAGAGCCCTTACATCCCTTGTCTATGAGAATGAAATTAATGTTGTAGGTGCATCCTCAATAAACATTCTAAAAATCTTGTTTTAGGTGCCCAATATATGACTTCATGCTGGGTTCCAGCTTGAAGAAATCTTCAAACTGTACCCCAAGTCTTGACAGGCCCTACAATGAACTGGCTTCATGAGTAAGTGGTAGTATATGGTGTCTGGTTTGAGTGGTACTGAGAAGGTTGATCACCTATTCTTCACATCTCCCCTCACAATAAAGAAAAAGATTTCACTTTCACGGCACCTGAAATTCCATCATAAGAGAAGCATTCCCTCATATGTTAGGATGTATCGGTCTTTAGAAGTCCCTATGACCTCCACTAAAGGTAGTATCTTTAGCTGTGGCCTCCCAACACTACAGTGGCCAATGGTTATCACCTCTCTGGGAAATGGAACCAGACCATGGGTCCACAGTGAGAAAGCATCAAGGTTTGGATGGGAAAATAAGAAAATGCAAAAACCAAACTTGGTGTACTTCAAAATTTTCTCAGAGTCAGCTGCATGTATGAGCTCGTGTGTGTGTGTATGAATGTGCCTATGAGATGTGCTTTTTTCCCCGAGAATCTTTTTTTGCTCTTCCTGAGAACATTCCTATGAATGTGAACACTTCTAACTTTCAATACTCTTTTAACATAGGATTCTGGCTTCATTTTTCCTTTTTTAAAAAATATACATACCTATGTACATATATGATGCATAAATAAGTGTTTAAACTTTTACATGGTCATATTTCAGTTTCCTGGCAGAAGTACTAAAATTTTCAATGACACTTGGACCAACAGCTGAGTTCCTTACCTTGACAAAGGTTTCAAACTGGCTTCTAATTTCCTCACAGTTCAGTAAGGATAAGGACCTCTCTCCTTTGTTGCACCTCTGTATCATTTTCATGAACACAAAATCTTCATGAAGATTCCTTTCATCTTCTATCTATTTGTGAAATAACAGGGACATGAGAAATGCAATTCTGAAGGAGAATGGCACTGATGATGTCTGCCTCTAAATTCACTTCCACGGCATCAGCAATTGAAAGAGGGATTTGCAGATATAAATGGGGAATAAAAACTTACTCTGGATTATTGATATTTGGTATTAGCAGTTTAAAAATCTACAAAAACCAGCAACTAAAATGTCATATTATCTGAAAGTCTAGGTGAAAATCACTATTCTAATAAAATTTCATCACAAAGTGTACATTTTTTAATATATTATAGCAGAACATTCTATAATTGCCATATTTCCTATTGTTCCAGTAATGATTGCTCATTATAAGCAGCCTACAAAATAATCTTCTGCTGAGCTATTTTCCCACTTTAGTGTTCATGATGAAGATGTTAATTTTCAATGTGTGTCAATTAACCCGAGTTCTAGTTACATCTTTCTCTCTTTTTAACTTTAGTATTTGCTGAAAACATTTGAATTTTTAAAGAAATAATCTTTTATTTCCAAAGTTAATGAAATATTTTATTTTCCAATGTCTTAGAATGATATATGGAATTCACTTGTATAATCAACTAATCATTTGCTATCTTCTTGTTTTAAGACTAAATTTTTGTATTCAAAACAAGATGCAGTTAGCTGGTAGATTTCACTGACATTAAGAGCGTGCCTAAATGCTCTGATAAATCTGAGTCTACCCAGGTCAATACTTCCCCTGTAGAGGCTAGGCGTATGTCCAGGCTTTGATTGACAGAGCTCATCAGGCCAAACACAACCAAACCCAGAACTACCCCTCTCTTTTCTCTGCAGTGAAACCTAAAATTTGAGTAACCCATGGAATTGCCTCAACCATCACTGCCCCTCAACCTTACACTGATAGAAAACCTCATGGCCTTAATTCTAGGCTGACAACCCAATAGAGGACACTTAAACAGCCCTGAGAAAATGCAGTCTCCAGATATTCTACATCCACAATTCCCACATCCGAACTTTTAGGAATGGCCAGATAATTGATCAAATATCTCCTTTTCATCTACGATTGATATTTTGTCAACACAGCTAATGATGCCCCTTAGAGGAAGTGGGTAAGCACATCAAAATAGGATAAATCCTAATGGTTATATTTTTCTGGGAATGCGAAACAACCTACTAAGTTTCTCTACTATTTTGTACCTATAAGTCCAATCAAAGAATATAAAACAGAGGAAAACTGGACAGCTTGCAACTACAATCAACATTTGACTAGTTATACAAAGAATGCCACTTTTATTAAAAGATTGCAAATTCTGAAACTTATACATGTCTATGTTAATCAGAAGCACTTTGAAATTTCAGATCAATTTGATGTTCTTCTTCTGTAGTTGAAAATTTAAAAGAAAAATTTTGTCTCTAAGATAAAAAAAGTTTATTTTTTAAACAAAACTTTAGCAAGTAATTGTAGCTAATGCCTACATAGTGCTTACTTTGTGCCAGGCTTTGTTCTAAGCTCATTACAAGGCTAAATTCATTTAATCAATGAGGTGGATACCATTATCATTCCTATTTCTCGGATGTGGAAACTGAGCCATAGAAATACAAAATAACTTGCCTAGGATCACAGAGCTAGTCAAGATTTGAACACAGGCAGTCTGACTGAAGAGCCCAAGCTCTTGACCACAGACAAGAATAGGGGGCTTCATTAACTAGACAACAAACATGCCACAAGACCACATATCTGTTTGGGTTTCTACCATTGTCCATAATTTGGGTAAAGCTAAATCAACCAACCCACAATTTAATAAGTACGTCAAACTTAGTTAATAAAGACATTTTCTTACCTTGTCCAATCTTCTGTGAAGATACACAGCAAAAAGTGCGGACCCAATCATCTGAGTGATAAGAAAAACAGTAAGTAAATACATAAAAATTTTCATACTGACAGGTGGTCCACTGGCCACAGATCGGGGAGAAGGTTGGCTGTATGTTTCGATCATGCTGTGTTAGAGTTGAAATATCTTCTGCCCGAGAAGGTGGCAGAGGCAGCATGAGAAGACTGTCAAAGTGGCCACCTTACTCAGGATTAGTTAAGAGCGCACAATCGTCGCAACCCACACTTCCTGGAAAATGTGCTTCGTAGTCTTCTCTCCCAGCAAAAGTTACGTAAAGGTTTTTTTTTTTTTTTCTCAAATTATACCCATATCATTCACTTCCAGGCTTTCCCTTTTGTTAGTAAAGAAGAAACAAGTTTCTTCTTCCATACATTCATTCTTGCCTTGAAATGTCATAGACTTAACAGACAATGGCAGTATTTTCCTACTGCTGTCTAAATTTTTGGTTCACCAGTTTCAAGGAAAGTGATAAATTAATCCACCAGCAACAGACATATTTCATTTTCATTCTTACTAATATAAAGCGGGAACCTGGTACGTGGGGAAAGAAACAAATGTCAACAAAAGTTTGGATTGATTTTATGACTGGTGTGTCACTAGCTAATTGCTTCTCAAAACTTCTTTAACCTTTAAACCCAATAAAATCCCAGCAGCTATTCAAGTCAAGACCATGTGGCATAAAGCAAAAAAGAGTGATGATGATTATTAAATAAAAGTTAGCTGAAGAGATAATTCAAGAAAAATACATTTCTCAAAGATCAAGAGAAGTAGGGTCTTGAAGGAAATCAAGCCAAAACTCTGTGATTGAGTTTAGAGTAGGAATATTAGCTTTACTTAGTCAAATTGCTGTCTACATTGTTCTAATCCATCAGATCATTGACAATGCCAATGTAACTGTTCAGAAAAGGGGAAATAGGCAGCAGTTCAGAGACCTGAATTCTGGTCTTTGCTGTACAAAAAAATTGCTATGGACCTCACGCAAATAACTAGACCTTAGTTTCTTCATATCTGAAAGGGACAGTTACACCTGAATTGCCTATCCTATAAGTTATTGTAAAGATAAAAAAAGATGTGCATGAAAGATCTTTGAAATATGTCAAGCAATAGACAAACAACTTTCATCCTGAATGTTTAAAAAACTTGTTTAGCCCAAGATATGAGTTTTCCAAATAATTGCCAACTCTTAACGTACTAGTAACAAAGAAAAGAACAATAACATGATAAAAAAACCCAAAGTTTGGAATACACATAGAATCATTGAGGTGTGTAGGATTATGCATTTATGAATGGCTTTTGCATAATTTTATCAGATTGCTTTAAAAATAAAAGCAACTGTGGAAGTCCGTACCCCATATCCCAACCTAGTCTAGAAACCATAAGCTTGCTTTGATGACTCCTATAAAATTGTTTTCAGAGACAAATAGGAAGTGTAACAAAATGCTCTGATAGGCATGCTATCTGTAGAGTTAGCACCTGCTCTCTTATCCTCCTACGCCACTGCATCCTGTCCTGGGCTCAGATCGGTGTAGCTTTTCACTACATCTGCCAAGTAGGTGGCTTCAGTGCACGTGATAAACTTTGATCAGTCAAGTCAGAGGCTTCGGTTCTTAGACAAGTAACCTTTGTTCCACTGAAGGAAAATTATCACGAGAGCAGGCTTGAGGACTTCTCCAAGGCCAGTTTCATACAATTACAGAATGCCACAGCTGCAAGGACCGTGCAAAGATCAGTTGAAAGGACCACAGAGACGCAAACGATGTCAGGATTTGTTCATGTGACCAACTTCAAAAAAGGTTGTCCAATCTCCCTCCTTCCAGTTCCTGATTTCCAGCCTCCCACAATCTGACTTCTGCCTGCAATATTCCCCTGGAGCTGCTCTCACCATTATTAGTTCTATAGGTTTTGCTGAATTCTTTCTTGAGTTCATTTTTAGTGACCTCTCTATTAGTCTGTTGACCTATTATTCTGTTGTCATCCTTCTGAAAACTCTCTTCTCTTGCCTCTCAGAAAACTTCTTCATGGATTCCTATTTTTCTTTGCATCTTTTAAAACTTTGGTGTTCCCTATCCTAATTCTTCTGTCGCCATCTTTCCTCCCTTCTCCTCTCTTCTTGCTCTACATGTTTTCCTTGGGTGAGTCCCATACATGTTCATAGTTTTTAGTATGACTTTCAACATGACAAATCCCAAATCTATAACTGTAACCCTGAACTTCAGATTTTTAGGTGTGGCTACCTCTGAATATTTCTACTTGGATATCAGAAAGCCACCTCACATTTGGCATGCTAGAAACTTAACTCAGCTCACTATTCCACTCAGTCCAGATCTGTTCTCTTTCAAGGGTCTCCCTTATCTCAGTGAATGGTACTCCCACACCCACCTAATTGTCCATGTCACAGACCTGGGAGTCATCTCTAATCCCTCCCTCTCTCTTGCCCAGATTATTCCTCAATCACAGTGGCTACTTTCTCCCCAAATCTTGGTTGGCACAAATCTTTCCATCTGTTATGTGAACATTCTAGTCCAGGACCACATCTCCTCTCTGCTAGATAAGTGGGCTGTATTTTCCTAATTTATTTCCTTGCTTCCTTTCTGCCCAACCCCATCCATCCTCCATACCTACAGCAGAAAGTTAATTCTAATAGTTATAACTGACCACATCATCTAATCTGATTTGAGCCCTCAGACTCTGCACCTCCAGGGAAGCAGACTGACAGAGTTCCCTGATGTGTTTAATGTAAATGGAATTAGCTCCAGAATCACCGGTTTATATTCAATACTTCAATTCTTGAAACCGCCTCTTTCTCCCATTCTTCTTCTGCCTGCTCCTCTAGCTTGATGCAGCAGTTGACTATCTTTCTGATAGTCAATTAAATTTTATTTTCTGATTCCCGATTCTGTATCAGATGTCTTTTGTGTCAGGACCTCCAATACCTGCTCTTGCCCCAACAAGGAATGACCTGGTCCTGGTGTTATACCCCCTTTAAAAATCTTCATCTGCCTATTACATCCAAAAGTGGTTTTCACCATGAGTTGCCAAGAAATTTGTAGATCTGTGGAGGAGTGCACGAAAGTGCCTGCAGCCAAAGTCAAATATTGAGCACCTTTTTCTTGGTTCACAGAAAGAATTAATGGATTGGATTGTTTCGGTTTTCAGTTTTCCTTTCTTTCTTTTTATTGTTGTTCAATTACCATTGTCCCAATGTTCTCCCCATTGTACTCCCCTGCCCTGCCCACTCCACTGCCTCAGTCAGTTCCCACCCTGTTGTCCATTACCATGGGTCCTTTATACATGTTCCTTGACTAGACCCTTCCCTTTCTTTCCCCTGTTATCCCTCTCCTCCTCCCCTCTGGTCACTGTCAGTTTGTTCCTTATTTCCATGTGTCTAGTTCCACTTTGCTCATTTGTTTGTTTTGTTCATTAGATTCCACTTATAGGTGAGGTCATATGGTATCTGTCCTTCATTGCCTTTTTCTGAAATCTGTCACCCTTTTTTACTACTGCATTTTTTCTAGCTAGTGATTGATCTGCAGTAAATAGTGTCAAGAGAAAATGAAAAAAAAACGAACAGATCATACTTCAACAGCTTGTTTTTGATGTTAATGAATCTGCTTGTGGTTGTGATTTTATATTGATAATCTAGATCACAGTCATAGTTTCTGCTAGGAAAATTATTTCCAGTACATATGAAAGAGTTAAATATATCATTTTGTTTGCTCTACAAAGGGCTTCACAAGGACTCTTTTCCCTGAACATGTCTGGAAAAACCTTGCTTAGAGGACAGTATATCCATTGTTAGTACAGCACACGACTTTCTGTCTTCATCTTCGCAACTCGCTCATGCTCAGCTCTGTTCATCAACCATATCAAGCAAGGCTTATTTTCCAAAATGTGCTGTGAATTTTCAAGCTGCATCCTATGTACATACTGACTCCTACCTCTCTTATTCATTATTAATGTTAAAGAGACAACCGTCTCATGAAACATCCCCATCAAGTTGATGTGTCCTCTTCTGTGCTTAATCTATTATAGCATTTGCCATATCACATAATTGACTGGTCTGGACATTTCCACACCATTAGCTTCTACAGGAAAGAGACAATTAAAAAAATCTCAGAACCCTTGCTTCCTGACACAGTATAAAGAATTAGTAAATCTTTGCCAAATAACTAAATTTTCTTTTAAAAAGGATAGAAAGGGAAGCTGTAAAACATTCTAATCTGGTAGAATAGCACTGGTTAGCCTCTCTACTGATACAAATCAGAATATATTTAAGTTTTCCTCTATTTCTTTAATTGTCTCTTTCCTCTGGGATCAATTCCATTTGTTTATTTTGGTCCTTCTCTTTCTTGTTGTAATTTCCCTTAAATATCTGATGACCCTTAATTGTCTGGTCACATTTATGAATGAAAAATGATGTTAGGTTTTATGAGTAGATGGCACAGGTTTTCTTTGCAATTGTATTGATCTGTTTCCCCCACAAACCCCTCTCTGGAATCAGAGGACTGACTGTGGGCTCTGTTTAAGAGGGCTGGGCCTGTCAATAGGCAGGCTTCCCATTATGTTATGTGGGTGGAGAGGTAGGAAGGCCACGGACCACCACAAATGATAAAGTAAGGAGGGTTTTCTTTGGGGTGGAGATCTGTAGAAGTTCTCACTCTTGACTGATGCTGGTTTTTCTTTTGTTTTCTTTTTCCTATCTGTTGTGGAAGTCTGAGGACCCTCCCTAGAGCCCTCTAAAAGCAACTTTAGCCTGACAGCAAAGGCCAAATATTGCTTCTGACAAGGGGCCCATGGGCAAAGGGAGAGAGGGAGAAAAGTGTCCATCTGCCCCAGGTGTTTCCACCACATCTCTGTAATAAGGGTTACCATAATGATTGCCTCTCAGCCTACCCCTGCTCTTTGCATTTATTGACTCTGAGATTGGTGCCTTCTTGGGAAAATCCACTCTTCCCTCTGATTTTTTGAATTGCCATGCTTTCTGCTCTGATTTCTGTTACTCCAAATTCATTGGCTTTCTTGTTTTGTCATATTCCTCAAAAGTGATCTCACACTGATGTCACTTTTTCTTGTTTCCCATGGTGGTTGTGGTTTCAATATTTTTACATTTACTTTTGGCTAAGTAGTACATTCACATAGTTACAAATATAAATGATACAAAACAGTGTTCAATGT